TAATGTTTTGGGGTTTCTTTTAAGTTTTACTTTCTATCAATATCTCTTCTTCCCAAGTTAATTTTGGTATTACATAAACTTAGTGGTCATTGAAATTGATATATCACTTTAACGTGATACATAAATGCAGGTTGTCTTATGTACTTATATAACCAGCTACCTTACAAGACTTTAGTTCTAATAGTTATCACTTAAAAATTAGCTTTCTTATTTGTGTAGACACTGATGCTGCTTCTAGATGACAATTTTTTTATATCAATTCTGATTGTCTTTTCCCTTTTCTTTTTCTATGTGAAGGCCTTCTAGCACAGAATTAAATTGAAGAGGTAGCAGCAGGAAAAGGACTGGGTCTAATATTTCACTATTCAGTTGATATTGATTATAGTGCTTGACACACTTTACCTCTGTCAGATTAAGAATATTCATTTTTTTCCCTTTATACCTCAAAAGGTTTATCATAAATAGGTTTTCTTTGTTGTCAAGTATGTTGTCTATGCCTAGTAAGAAAATCATGCAGGTTTCTTTTGTTTCTTTTCCTTAAGATTTATTTATTTATGCATACAAAACTGGGGCGATGAGAGGATTCACCTGAGACAGAGTAGGGAGCAGAACAGGCCGACTGAGGAAGTACACTGCTGAGGGGAGCAGTGGATGGGTCCGAAGAGGTCTGCCGCGCCATGTGGGTCACCTCATGGGCAGGGGTTGAACTCATGCTAAAGTGGCTTTCGCTTCTTAGTGCTGTGCTTTAACCCGCCATGCCACCAGGGAGGGCCCATAGCTTTCTTTTTTCAATGTGAAATTTTCTTTCATAGAGTAGTATCCTATTTAGCAGACCTTTTACTTGCAGGACAAACCCAACTATAATGGTGCATTTTTTGTATAGATGCTGTAGGATACACATTACCTCTATATGATTTCTTTTTTCTTTTTCTTTCTTTTTTTTTTTTTTTTTTTTTTGCTTTATTTGCTTTATCAAGTGTGTTTCTGATGTGGATGTACCCCTGAGTTAACAGCAGACAGGCACAGTACAGTGGTTGCCTCTTCTTTGGGTGGGTTCACGACCCTGATACTTCTGCACAGTTGCTGCTGATATGTGCAGTTGTTCACCAAACTTTGCTCACCAAGTAGTTTACTTTGGTTGTAATTTGATTGTAAACATGTGTTGGTAAAAAGTCTGGTTTCATTACTACTATCGTGTTAGCATTTATTTCTAAAATGAAAATTCCTTAAGAATAATGCCTTTACCAATATGTAGTTAACTTGAGCTAGGTTAGTAAAGTTATAATGAATTAACTATCATAAAGCTGCTTGTTAAAATTAACCTGTGGCCAGCAGAGTTTACAAATTTAAGTGATAAATGGTTTTTCTTCAACATTCAAGTATATATACTGTTATGATTAGTTTGGTGTTATTTATGTCAGGAGGCTTTGATGCTCTCACAGTAAACGTCAAAACTACAAGAAAGCTCATTTCCATATTAGCAATAAACTTATGGAGAAACAATCTTCCAGTTGTTAAACTGTGAAATAAAAAAAAAGTATAAATTTTAGATGTGTACTTCAGGTAACAATACGTAGCTGAGTGCATGAACATATCCTTACGTTAGTAGTGTTTCCTATGAAACTGCATTTACACCTTAAGTTCTAACCAGAAATAGCATAGTGATGTTAGAGTTTTCTATTTCCACATTCTGTCATTTAGCTAGTTTGTGTTGGACACTTAAGAATTGGCATCTTTTGTTTCCTTTTTTAGTAGAATAAATCTATTAAAATATTTTTAAGTAGTAGCTGCATATAAAAATTTAATGTGCTTGTATTTTCATTCTTTGACCAAATGTAAATTAAAAAGATGGCTTCTTTTGGGTATTGATTTGGTTTTGACCTTCCAGATATGTGTACATTTTCTAGAGGTGGAAAGAATTGTCTTCTGTTACTCACTTCTAAGTAATATAACTACATCACTTTCACAGAAAAAAAATTTTTTTTACTTTTCTTATTAAATAGATTAGTTTTCCAACTATGATGAAAATGTACTTAATTGAACATGGAATGTTAATTTCTTCTTTCTTCATTTTTTTGTATTGCTTCCCCCTGGATTAAACTTTCTGATTCTCTAAAGGAATTCTTTTGTTAAAACTTTCTTAGTAGCTCATTAAGTTTGTCTACAGTGTCTTTATTTTGCTTTCACATGTAATGATAGTTTTAGAATATAGGATTCTAAATTGATTGTAATTTTCTCTAATAATTTTGAAGATTCTTTTATATCTCTGCAGCTATAATTGACAAGTGTAGATTTACTTTTGTTGCTCTTCCTAGAACTGAGATTCTGAATCTTTCATAAATTATGATACAAAGATATTACCTCAGTGAAAATTGCCTGTCCTCCATTTTCTGTATCTATGTTCCAGAATGCATATTAGATAGATGGGCAGACAAAAATGGATATTTCATTCTCATCTATGTCTCATTTCATCAATTTGGTGTCAATTTGGCATCAAAATATAAAATCCTTAGTTACCTGGTCCATTAATTCCCTAATATAGCTTGGCTTTAGTATAGTCTCTTAGAATTCTGGTTTACTAGAACCCACTTAGGGTTCCATCTGATAAGCAGCTGGTTTACTTTGGGCTCCTACTTTTTTTTTCTCTCTTGTAAGCTATGCATTTAAAACAGTATTTGTCCAATTTTATAGCTTTAAGTCATTTTTTGTGGAAATACCAGATTATCAGTTAATAACATTGAAGTCAATACATTCAGTCTTCCAAAAGGTTTTGCCTATGTTAAGTTTGAAGCACTTAATACAAGCATTGAAAGTTCTAGAAAATGCACCTGCTACTAGCATTGAATCAACAAAAAGTCCATTTAGAAGTCATGTATCTAATATTCACCACTTGTACACCTTACTAATATTTTACCTCAATATTTCAATTCTTGACAATCTTAGACAATTTGAGTAAAGCAGTTTTATTATTTGCTTTAAGTAGATGGTTTTCATCATTCTCTGCCTTGTGATAAATAGGAACAAAGGAATTTGTATGTGATAACTAAGGTTAAATACAATTAAAGGAGTATTTACTACCCTTGATTCTTTTCAGACAAGCATACTTGATGTAGAAACTGTCCCAGATCCATCTAATTTATATTGTTTTTATTTGAATTGATTCCCAAAGACTGCTTTCAGTGTGATAGAATAGTTTTGAAGCCCAGGCTAAAAATTCACCACTTTTTTCCTGTATATATTTATGTAGTTTGGACTTCTTTCTCTTTTAATCCTGTTTAATGGTTATAATTATTGCATCCACTTTGTCCTGCAACTGATTTCTGGCAGTTCCCAAGGTTTTCACTTAGACTTTCCCAAGGATGTAAACTCCAGAGCAAGAATAGCACACCTGCTCCCTTACCATAGACTTGGTGCATACAGCAGCCAAATATGAACAAGATGAAAATAAAAGATCTGTTTGGATGAATAGTAACTTTTTTTGAAACGCTGTCATTAGCACCAACAAATGATTTTTAAAAAAAAGAGCAATGAAGTTTTGTGCAACTATTCAAATCCACATTGTTTAATTCCCATTGACAGACTGCCTTGTGGAAGGGAGGATTAAAAAAGGAAAGAAAAACCAAATCCCTACTAATCAATTACAAAACAAGAGAAAGCTAGAGGGAAACAGTCAGGGTCACTTATACTAGCCTCAAATATAGGAACTTTCACACTATTCAGTAGTCATCCACTCAATCATTCAAGAAATATTTAGTACTTGTGATGTACCAGGCACTGACTGAGGCATCTGGTATCTTATCAATAGACACAAATTCCTACCCTTGAGGAGTTTACATTCTAGTTATGGTAAGCAACAAATATAGTACAAATATAGACTCAAAGAATTATGTCAGAAGTACTATAAAGAAAAGCTTAAGCAGGAAAAGGCATTGGAGGCAAAGTTGAAGAAATATCTTAAATACATTCTCACTGAGAAAGTGGCATTTGAGTAAACAACAGGCTGAGAAGCAATCCAGGAGAGGAATGTGTTCTGGGCAGAAAGAACTGAAAATGCAGAAACAGTAGGCATTCCTGGTGTGCCCAAGGAATAGCAGGAGTAACTGAGACAAGAATAGGATGAGTGAAGGGAAGGAGGTTAGTGGGTCTTTAGAAAGAGAGAAGACAGGAGACCCTGTGGGCTCAGAAGGCTACTGTATGCAGTCTGAATCATTCCCTAAATGGGGAACCATTGATAGGCATCTTGAAGCAGAGTGTGACATATTTAAAGCTGAAAAAACTGGAAGTGACTGAGGCTAAGCAGAGCCTTTTTTAAATGAGAGAAAATATGGCATTTTTGTTCACTAATGAGCCAGATCCAGCAGAGAAGCAAAAATAGGTGGATAAGTGAAAGAAATTTATGGAATAAAGGCCTAACTTGCTATAGTGATTACCATCTCTTCCTCTCTCTGCTAAATGAGGTAAAGACTAAAGAGGCTGTTCTGTTGTGATCTGGACAGGAAACAGAAGAGAAGGTGATGGGAATCTACAAGCTCAGGTGCAGATGCACTGGTGACTGAGCAAGCCCTGGGCGCTGAGGAAGTTATCTTCTGTTAGGATCAGTTTCTGTGCTGGAAAAAAAGGGAAGGATGACGATAAGGAGGAGGAGGCATTGAGGGCTGCCCTAGAGAAAGAGAAGGGGCTCACACAGGGCTGCAAAAGGCAACATGAAATACTGGTGACAGGAAGGTTCACACTCCAGTGCTTCATGCATCAGCCATATGACCCAGATTAGGTTTCTTACCTCCCTACACCTCTGTGTCCATGTGCAAAATGGAAACAGTAGTTCCAGAAAGTTGCTTTGTGGTGTGGATAAGCAATCATGTGAAGCATTTATAACCATCACTAAGTAACGAGCATTGACTATATTATAAGTTGGCTGTTAGCTAATGTACATATGTCAGATAGTCGATTACTTATCAATAAATTAGTAGGTTGTGATGTTATCTGAATTCTCTTTTCAGGAGATTTGTCCTCACCAAGCTTCAAGTTATCCCGAAAGGAGCATTTTCAGGATTTGTGGACCTGGAGAAAATGTAAGTACCTGGCCCCCAACAATGCTATGAATAATGACATCTCAAAGGGGCAGGAGCCTCAGATTATATCCAGCTTTATGCTTTCTGTGCTCCGAACTGACACACTAAGCAACTTTTTGGACCTCTTCCAATTTTATTCCATACTGCTGTTTAGGAAATAACAAGGAAATCTCTCAGAATGTGGCTGTTGAAATGAATATAAGTCGATCTTAACAATGCTTGCCTTCTTTAAAATAAGATGTTGTTCCCAAAGCACCTGTGAGTTGAATTTTTATAAACTAAAGGCTGTTCCTCTGCTGACATTATTTTTCAGGATACCGTCTATTGTCTTGATTAATTTTTAATTGACAGCTCTAGACTTCTTCTTCACATGCTGACAAGTGGTAATTGACACAGAAACACTTGAAAGTATTAGTAAAGTGTACATCACTCAGGGATATTTTTCAAAGAAAAATAGTGCAAATATTCACTTTTCTCTGGCTTAGTCCTACAAAAGTGTATAACCAAATAGTTTTCTCAAAATGGGGTTTACAGGAATAACAAGTTGAAGAAATTCTCCCATACTTCAGGTGAGTTTTGTCTTGGAAAAGTCTTGGGCCAATGACATGTTTTGTGCAGTGACACAGTCAATTCAGAACTGAAATGCCAGAAAATACAGATTATTGATTAATCCCCTAGATTAAATGCATTTCTTTCTTGAAACTCTATAAATTTTCCTTTTGCTTCTTTTAACCTCCTTAAAGCTTCTGCTAGCTGAGGTCTGTGGAAGTGGTAGAGATACATTGATAGAAGACAAACCAGAGAAAGAGGCTGTGGGTTTGAGCAATTAAGCCACCTGCCTGGAGAGTGGCAGAATCCTGGGTCTGAGTGTCCCTTTTAATGCAAATGTCCTTCATAACCTTGACTAAGTCACCTATCTCCCAGGGTCTTGTTTTCTTATCCATGCATTAAGAGAATTTGAAAGGGGGTGATCCCTTATGTGATCTCTAATTTCTAAATGCAAGCATCTCCTAGTTGGATGAGAGTCCAGCTTCAGACTTCAGGGTTTATCTTCCAAAGAACATTCAGCACACACAAGAATTGGGAGGAGGGGACACTCACCAAGGAAAACAGGGCAACGATAGAGTTGGAGAGCTTTGGACATAAGGGGTATTCCCAAGTGACTCAGCCATCACCCTGCCCATGAGTAACATAGGCTAGATGGCCATGGGCTCTGCCTTGCATAGAAATTGCCCTGAAGACAAGCATTCCAGGTATCCCAAACAGCCCTCCTTAATCCTGACTCTAGCAAATGTGACTGATCACTCCTTGGATGTGTCCAGGGACCATCTTGTAACCACAGAAATGGGTGGCAAAACTGGTAGAGCAATAATTCCAGGAACACAGTCAACTGAGAGACTCCTGAATTTCATCAGACACAGCTGGTCCATTTCTACCTCATGTCTTTATTAACTATCCATAGATTTAATTGACATAGTGAGATGCCAAAAGTGAACTCAATCTCATTTTTCAATACTCTTGATCCTAAGGCCTCAAAAACACTCCTTAGTAGAGAGTCTGACCCAACTGAAATGTGAAGAGACGGCCCTCCAGCCCCTCTGCTCACCTTCCTCCATTGTCACACCTTCTATTCTTGGACATTGATAAGTTTCATCTCCCGTCATCTTTGTTCTTATAGTTTGTTTTCTTTTTAATTTATTTATGCATATAGAACTAGGGTACTGTCCCCTGCATATGTGGCCAGGTTTCACATAACCTTATTACAAAGAAAGGGAATAAAAGTTTTCTGTATAGCTTCTGCCTGCCTTCTGTTTAGCTTCCTCTCCTTCCACCAGTAACACTCTTTTCAAATAGCAACCTGCATTCACACCCCCATCCTTTCATCTCAGTTTCTTCTCAGCTTCCCACTTAGTTAAAATTCTTTAACGTGATTAAATTATTCTATTAAAGGTCCCCGTAATACAATCACTGCCACACAGATCTAATGAATTCTACTTTGTCTCCTTAGTACTTAACCTATATCTAGCTTTTGGTCTCATTGACTTATCTCCCCAGTCTTGTCAATACTTTCCCCTTCTAATTTCTGTTACACCTACCTAGCTGCCCTCATCATCTTTCGGACTGATCCATAACCTGTTCTCTTTATCTTTCTTGTTCTTCAGATGCTTAACAAAACCTTGTCTGTTCCAGGGCTCCATTTTTTATAGTCACACTCCCAAATCATTATTCCTAAGTCATAATTCATCAAATAATGTCTTAGTACCAGGTTTCTGACACTATCAGCAGCAATTCCCAACTGTCTTCTGATGTCATTATTCTTGCTTTGAAAGGTAGAGACTCCTGAGCACCTACAATTAAATCACCTGAAAGTACCTCAGATTCAATATATCCAAACTCTTTATCCTTAAAGTTGTCATCTTGCCGTATTGTCCAGTGAATAACATCCCCATCTGACAGTCTTCCAAACAAGAAAGTTCAAAGTTTTTCTTGACTCATGCGCCTTCTCAATCTTTTCTAAGTGTTTTTCCAAAGTCATTGACTCCCTCTCAAATATTTCTGGAATCCAGCCCTCCTCTCGCTTCTGCTGCTGTTAGATTCAAAGTCTCCTCAATACTTATATAGCCCACTGTAGGGACTGCCATACCTATGCCAGCCCAATCTCTTGGAGACCCTCATTGCTTAGCTCTCCAGCATAGAAATCAAAGCCCTTTATGCCAGTCACATGCACTGTGTAACTCACTCTTTGAGCAGTTAGAACGAACTTCCATTCCCCATGCACCAGATAAATGGATTATTTTGCATGTGATGGCTGGTTCTTTGTTTTGATCCTCTATGTGCCATGCTCTATTCCTAGTTGCAGGTGAAACAGCAGAATATGGTTTCACACTAGTCTATGTAGATGTGGTGCCTGTGCTTCAGTACTACTAGGTAAACTCCTGCTTGTGCTGTAGGAGCCAGCAAAAATATTTGCTTTTCTGTCATATCTAGCTCTGCCATTGGGTCCAAGCCACAACGATGTGTTCACAGCATTAATAGCACATTTATTAGGTTGTATTGAGAATTTACAGATTATTCCACAGCTTTGATTGTTCTTTCAGGGCAGAGTATCCCTTACTTGGTATTAAAATGAAACACCTCATGTTTTTATCTATTATATTTCTACTGTCCACTTCTCTCTTTCTCCAGTTACCATATCTTTCCCTGTATACGCACAGTAGTCTTCTGCCTGTGCTGACTCATCCTATAGCATGCTCCTGCAGGCACACCCTTCTCTACACAGCTATCAGTGATGGCTGCCTAGTTCATACCTAATCATGCCACCTTCCACCCCATCCTGAGACACACACACATACATTCCATTCCTACCTTTGCCGGGAACATCAAACAGAAACTAGACCTCTCCCACTCTCTCCCTCGTTCTCCTAGCTCATCTCCTGCTGCCTATGCTAAGCCTCGGCATCTGCTATTCCTTCTAAGTGCAGGTCCTCTCTACAGCCATTTCATTAACTCCTCCTCACCCTTCAGGTTCCCACCCCAGTCACTTGTTCAGGAAGCCCTCTGTGGCCTCCCCAGCTACAAAATCTACTATCTACACTTGCACATCCTCCTTCCTCTCTCTGTGATGGCCATCCTTTTAGCAAATTCACACTTCTCTATATGATAATTTAATGAATTTCTAACTTTTCTGTTGTATATAAGTGTCATGAACACACAAGGATATGTTTGTTTTTGCTCAATTTTGGATACATGGTGCCTTGTAAAGGTTTAGCTACATACAGTAAATATATGAATACAACAAATATAATTCTTTAGAAAATAAGACATTCGGCTATGTAAGGAAAACTAAATAACAGGATAATGATAAATAATGTTGGTGTTGGTAGGCATATAAACACTGGCTGTGAAGCTACTGTACCTAGGCGTTCCATAGTTATTTAAAATATAACACCCAGAAGGAAAAAGCACAAGGTAATACTGGCAAAATAAATGAGACAAACATTGCATTTTTTT